TAGCCAGGTGTGGTGGTGCAAGCCTGTATTTCCAGCTACTGGGGAGACTGAGGCAGGAGAATCACTTGAACCCAGGAGGCAGTGGTTGCAGTGAGCCAAGATGGCACTACTGCACTCCAGCCTAGATGACAGAGCAAGACTGCATCTCAAAAAAAAAAATAAAAGTGGGGAGATTCAGAGTACCCTGCACAGTGCATGAGACGGTGGGGCACCAGTGACAGCTGTAGGGCCTGCAGAGGGGTAGGGACCTACCCGTCCCCAAAGTCCCAGCTGTAGAGAAACACGGCGGTCTTGAGGAAGTTGCTCGGGTCGTGGAGAAGGAAGGAGACTTTCAGGACTGTCTTAGTGAGATAGGAGCTGGGCCAGGGCAAGGAGGTGTTCTGGGTGACAACGAGGTCCCCAACGAGGAACTCTGAGAGAGAGAGAGAGACACGGGAGGATGAGTCTTGGAGATTCAGGGATCAGGGAACCAGATAGAGACCTTGTGGGCAGCTGTCAAAGCCACCGCTTCCCTGGCCAGACCTTCTGGCTCTCAGAGCTAGGCAGGGAGAGGGGACCCCCCCACTTCCCCAAAGACCCCTGAACACAGAGGCCTCCACACCCTCCCCCTGCTGCATGAACACTGCTGAACACCAGAGGATTTTGTCACATTCACTGTTTTCTCTCCTGTCCCCTCTCACCAGGACCCTGAACTTTCTGACACAAAAGATGGCCAAGGTCAGAAGGAAATGCATGGGCAGGCGCCGCGGCTCACGCCTGTAATCCCAGCACTTTGGGAGGTCAAGGCAGGTGGATCACAAGGTGGGGAATTCAAGACCAGCCTGGCCAAGATGGTGAAACCCTGTCTCTACTAAAAATACAAAAATTAACTTGGTGTGGTGGCACACACCTGTAGTCACAGCTACTTGGGAGGCTGAGGGAGGAGAATCGCTTGAACCCAGGAGGCGGAGCTTGCAGTGAGCCAAGATCGCGCCACTGCATGCCAGCCTGGGTGACGGAGCAAGACTCCATCTCAGAAAAAAAAAAAAGAAAAAAGAAGGAAATGCATAAGCTTTGAAAGGAACTTTTGGGAAATATTTCAGAATGTCAGGTGACCCTAGAAAAATTAGCAGTTCCAATGGCCGGGCACAGTGGCTCACGCCTGTAATCCCAGCACTTTGGGAGGCGGGCGGATCATGAGGTCATGAGATCAAGACCATCCTAACACGGTGAAACCCCATCTCTACTAAAATACAAAAACAAAATTAGCCGGGCATGGTGGCGGGCGCCTGCAGTCCCAGCTACTTGAGAGGCTGAGGCAGGAGAATGGCGTGAACCTGGGAGGCAGAGCTTGCAGTGAGCCGAGATCACACCACTGCACTCCAGCTTGGGTGACAGAGCAAGACTCCGTCTCAAAAAAGGAAAAATTAGCAGTTCCACTGATCACAGCTCCACATGCTGGGACCACTGTCCTGTGTCTACTTCTCTAAAAAGAAAAAAAAACTGGTGAGGCGCGGTGGCTCACACCTGTAATTCCAGCACTTTGGGAGACCGAGGTGAGCAGATCACTTGAGG